TTTTCTTTCAAAACAAAGCTGCCAACTGGGGTGGCAGCTGGGGTGGCAAGGCCTATTTTTAGGGTGTCAGTTGCCACCCCGGTAGGTGAAACTAGGCTACTAGCTACAGTACAGATGGAACTAGATGAGCTGTTAACTCTCGCTCTGATTTTTTTTTTTTTTTTTTTTAATTCTCGCTCTGACTTAGACAGGTTGAAAGAGACACACACATTTTTCCCACCCGCATTCCGCGAAGACCCGCCCTACTGTGCCTCTGATTCGCAGATTATTTGGGGGGAAAAAACGCTGACTGGATGCTGAATGTGATTGGACCAAAGCGTTGACACACACAGGTGGAACACAGTGGAACAGTCAGACATGCAGAGCGCTGTTTGCAGTGGACATAGCGGAGTATTTTGACTCGTTGCGAATGCGTTGTGGCGATGTCTCACATATAATACAGAGAGATCATACATATGAAAAGTATAATTTGCTCAGAGTCCGGAGACAGTGGTGGTTCGGTCCGGATCCGGACCGGAGTCCGTAGTTTGAGGATGCCTGGTCTAAGTGAACGGTGATTGTAAAAACTACACTGCGCATGCTCAGAGTATTTTTCTATTTAATGTGTGTGGCAAAAAAATAATGACCGTAGGGGCATAGTGCTCCCATCCCCACCATACGTCATCTCACATAATTCAGAATTGATTGGCTGTAAGTACTCACGTGTGCAGTGCTGCGAAACGTCACGTGTAGTTTGAAGAGGAGACGAGAGAGCAGCATATAGCTAACATCACCAGCGATTAAAAGAAGTAAAAAACTGAAAGAAAATGAATGAAGTTGACCATTTACTGGAGCACACATTTGAGACACTTAGTCTCGGAGAGAAACTGGAGGTAAAGCGCCTCGGTGCCCACCATCCACCGGATTTCCAAATGGTCCAGACTGCGGGCAAAGTTAAACGTGGGTTTAACGCTGAGTGGTTTGCTAAAAAGAAATGGCTAACGGCGAGCATCCAGAAGAATTCCCTCTTTTGCTTTCCTTGCCTGCTTTTTGGTGAAGATCAAGGTACTTGGTCGAGGACAGGTTACAAGGACTTAAAGCATCTTTCGGAGAGGACAATGAAGCATGAGAGCAGCAACAGTCATTTGGAAAATGCCGTAAAATTGGGATTACTTGGAAGGGTCAGTGGCGTTTCTAGGTGTACAAAACTGGGGGGGCAGAAAGAGGTCGGGGGAGAGAGAGAGAGAGAGAGAGGGGGGGGGGACAGAGAGAGGGAGGAGAGAGAGAGGGGGGACAGAGAGAGGGGGGGAGGAGAGAGAGAGAGGGGGAGTGTCAAATTACATACTGAAGACCACAGGAGCAACACTGTGAGCGCATACATTTACGTACACAGCGTGGGGATGTCATAGTAATGCACCTTCATACATGGAGTAAAGGTCACCATCACAAAGTAATTCTTAACAATAACAACAACCGTAATGCTTTAGCATTAAAACACCATAGACTGTAAATATAAGGAAAACACAGACACTCATCATCGAGGTCACAATATCAATCGATCCAGCAGAGGCAAAACACAGAAGATCAACAAAATATATGACATAAATGAACTTACCAAAGCTGAAGGCTCACTTGAAAAGAAAAGCGGCACGGCGGTCCTTCCTCTGACAGAATGTGTCTATCACTTTGGGGATGAAGTCCTGTAGTTGCTGGATCAACTGGCTTTCAATTGAAAGCATGGCCAATGCGTTAAGTCGCGGCTGTCCCATGGTGTTGCGAGTGAAAGTCTTTATCCTTTTGAGGGTGGAAAAGTTCCTCTCTGACTCGGATGTCGTCATCGGAGTTGTCACTATTATTTTGACCAAAATAACAGTCTCAGCAAACGTTTCCTCCAAGTTGTTCCCGTGAATGGATTTCAACAGAGACAGGGCAGTGCAGTGTGAAGCTCACTGTGGCGGTAGAGCGTGGTCAGCTCAGACTTCAACTTCTCCTTGTTTCCCAACGCAGGCCACAGTTTCACGGCGCAGTCAAGCTCAGGTGTAGGAAATGACAGGACATGCTGTGGGAAGAATGAGCTGTCAACAAGCTTTGCAGCGATCAAATGGTCACTTTGTGAGAACCTCTGTTCCACCTGTGAGATGACTGTGTCACAAGCCTCCTTCATCACCGGCGCTGTGCTGCTGACTCGTCGGCCTGGCTCGTCTGTTCCATCATGAGCAGTGGCGGCCAATGCATCAGTTTTCTGCCTCATTTTCTGAACATTTTCCTTGAAACGGCAGAGCGCGCTGTTGATCCCAGGTGCATCGATGCTTCGTTTTTGCAGAGTGTTGTATAGAACATCCACTTCTGGCATAAGCAACGAAAAAAACTCCAGGAGCTGCATAAATGCTCGGTCCCGCAGTTTCTTTGACAGGCCGTATGCCTCACTTATGGTGACCGCATCCCTAAAGCATTACGGTTGTTGTTATTGTTAAGAATTACTTTGTGATGGTGACCTTTACTCCATGTATGAAGGTGCATTACTATGACATCCCCACGCTGTGTACGTAAATGTATGCGCTCACAGTGTTGCTCCTGTGGTCTTCAGTATGTCATTTGACACTCCCCCTCTCTCTCTCCTCCCCCCCTCTCTCTATCCCCCCTCTCTCTCTCCTCCCTCTCTCTGTCCCCCCCCTCTGTCTCTCTCTCTCTCCCCCGACCTCTTTCTGCCCCCCCAGTTTTGTACACCTAGAAACGCCACTGCTCTCTCCACATTTCACCATAATGTCCATTTCAAAGAGACGGCATTAGGACAGAGCCGCGGCCCCACGGGAGCATGCCGCGGTGCGTTCAAAGACCTCAGTAGAAAATCGGCCCTTTTCTTTGTCAGCCCCCATGCCGAAACTCCCTTTTTATGGAAGGTTTGGTAGCGGAGTAGGCCACCAGAGAATACTACAGCTTCTTAGCTTTGGCTCCACAGCTGCTGGCATGTCCCCTGAACACAGTTTTGTGGGGATGGAAGCCCCAAAAAAGCTGTGTACTGACAGAGTAGAGGGGCATGACACTGAGACTGGGTTACTCACTCCAGCTTTGCAGCGTCCCTCCTCCATTTAGGGGCAATAGAGAGTCAAATCTATCATCCTGGGAGGCCCTGTTACAAGAACGGTGGGTTACGTATTGTAACCCTAGTTCTAGAGTGATGTGTGTGTGAAAAATGCATTTAGTAAAAACGATGGCATTTATCCCAGAGTAAGAGTCATCTCTCTCCACATGATCCCATAATGTCTCGTTGAGATCGGCAAGGCCGTTTTCATACGATGTTAATATGACACCCATTATGAGGCGCGGCCCCCGTGAGAGTGGCCGCGGTGCGTTCAGGGATCTCCGCAGAAGAACAGTGGCTTCAATTCCGGCCCCAGCTGCCATGGTTCCAGACTCAGTTCTGGCCCCAGCGGCCATGGTTCCATACCCAGCTCTGGCCCCAGCTGCCATAGTCCCATCTCTTGTCCCATCTCTGGTCTTTTCTCGAGTCCTAACTCAAGTCCCTTCTCTAGTCCCTTCTCTGGTCCCCTCTCTAGTCTCTTCTCGAGTTCCCCCTCTAGTCCCATCCCAAGTCCCTTCTCTAGTCCCTTCCCTAGTCCCTCCTCAGGTCACTTCTCTAGTCCCTTCTCCAGTCCCACCTCTAGTCACTTCTCTAGTCACTTCTCAGGTACCAACTCTAGTTCCATCTCAAGTCCCTTCTCTAGTCCCTTCTCTGGTCCCCTCTCTAGTCTCTTCTCGAGTTCCCCCTCTAGTCCCTTCTCTAGTCCCTTCCCTAGTCCCTCCTCAGGTCACTTCTCTAGTCCCTTCTCTAGTCCCTTCTCTAGTCCCTACTCAAGTCCTTTCTCAAGTCCTTTCTCAAGTCTCTCCTCTCTCCTCTAGTCCCTTCTCTAGTCCCATCTCTAGTCCCATCTCCAGTCCCTCCTTTAGTAACTTCTCTAGTCCCTTCTCAAATCCCAACTCGAGTCCCCTCTCCAGTTTCCTCTCAAGTTCCCTCTCCAGTCCCCTCTCGAGTCCCCTCTCGAGTTCCCTCTCCAGTCCCAACTCAAGTCCCAATTCAAGTCCCTACTGAAGTGCCGTTGGAGGTTCTGCTGGGGGTCCTGCCAACTCCATGTTCTGTCCCGTTGGGGGTCCCGCCGACTACTCTCCTGCCGGGGGTCCTGCCAATCCTATGTCCAGTCCCGTTGGAGGTCCCGCCGACTACTCTCCTGCTGGGGGTCCTGCCAACCCTATATCCTGTCCCGTTGGGGGTCCCGCCGACTACTCTCCTGCCGGGGGTCCTGCCAATCCCGTGGCCTGGTCCTCTTCCATGGGGGATCCTGCCGAGGCCTGTCCCACCAGCTCCGGTTCCTGTCCGGCCGACACCAGGTCCTGCCCGGCCTCCGGCGATGTCCCGTCAGCGCCTTCCTGCCCGGCCCCCTGAGAGTCGCGGTCTTCACCCTCGAGCCCGGCCCTCTGAGAGCCGGGCCCTCTGAGAGCCGCAGTCTTCACCCTCGATCCCGGCCCCCTGAGAGCCGCGGTCTTCACCCTCGATCCCGGCCCCCTGAGAGCCGCAGTCTTCACCCTCGAGCCCGGCCCCCTGTGAGCCGCATTCTTCGCCCTCGAGCCCGGCCCCCTGACTTTCCCGGCCGTGGCCCTCGCCCTCATGCTCGGCCCCCTGACTTTTCCGGCCGCGGTCCTCGCCCTCATGCTCGGCCCCCTGAGTTCGCCCGCGGTGGACTTCGCCCCTCCATAACCCCCACCTTGGACTCTGTCTTGCCCCCGGGCCGTCCGCCCGAGTCCCCCTTCTCGGCTTCTGCCTTGACCCCGGGCCGTCCGCCCGAGATCCCTTCCGGGTCCTCCGCGGTGCTCCTGGGTTGTGCCATATCCTTGAAATAAAGGTATTTTCAGTTTTTTCTGCATTTGGGTCCTGCCTGCTTCACTAACCGTAACAGAAAGTGAAACACTGAAAACACTGAAGGATGGTTTACCTTCATCCAGCTGGAGTTAAATGTTGTGTTTAGATGAAGGTGTACTTGGGAGTGGCGGTGGATGGCATGTTCCTGACTGACACAGCAGAAGAGCTCCTCAAGAGGAAAGAGGTGTTGTAGGTTCCAGTGATGATGGGAATAACGAACCATGAGTTTGGATGGATCCTGCCTCAGGTCACTCACTTCACATCACACATAATGTTGTTCACCCAGCCTCTTTAACAATGCTCCTTCTATTGATGTGTGTCACTAATCGTTGACAAATTTTTTATAAAAGGAACTCTATCTTGAAGGATTTGTTCTTCATCTTGAACTCTTTTTGAAGCGTTGTCTCATGCTGATCACAGAGAGTCAGTCCTGTCAGTGGCCAACATCTTCAACCCTGCAGGGGTGAGCTCCGTTATTTTACGTTTTGAATTTTTTGCCCCTTAAAAAATATTCAGTCAAAACAATATGGTACTATCACTAACAACAATTGAATGACATATTTATTCTGTAAATGATCTCTTATGTAAATGATCTCTTATGAGGAAAGCCATGCAGGTAGCAAGCACAAATATATACAAACAAGTCCTTCAAACACACAGACCAAAGCATGGGCTTCTGGCAGGGGCCAGTGCATCGCTTCGTTTCTAATATTGCAAAGTAAGTAGTAGAGTATTTCATGCAAGTGATATAACATAAACTGATGGAATAAGATTAAAGATCCCTTCAAGACATGGTCTTAAACATTTACCTAAAAATACACTCTACTTTCAAGATTCAAGGGTTTTATTATCATGTGCACAGCAGCTATATGTAGTTATGGAAATGAGAATCTTAGGCCCGAGCTCCTCCAACAATGCAACATATTATATAGGACATAAGACAACAACATAACAATAATAATAATAAAAAAGATTAAAAAAATTAAAATAGTGCAAATGAACAGAGTACGATACATTTGAATAAAATAAAATAGTGCAGGTGAAAGAAACAAAGTAAGGTTGAATAGTGTACAGTGAAATACAATGAACTACTGTTTGATCTAGTTATAACTATTAAGATAATAACGTTTTTTGAATATTTAGGCAAAATATAAAAATCTATACAATAAGCATTTTATGGTATTATCATCATATTGAAAAGATGGTCAGCTCAAGGGATTGTGTGAACTCCCAAAGGTTTAATTCAACGTCCTAACCTTCAAAGTTGTCTTGGTCTGTCAAACACATAGATGATATGATCATCGCACCAGTCACACTTCAACCCTCCCCTGTCCCAGGCCTCTGCTGCCAACAGCCTCACCGCTGACCAATACCTGAAGGATGCTGGAACACCAGAGGAGATAAGAGACTCCTTCACTGAGATGATTGGCGACATGCTGATGGCGCTGCCCGTCGTCACGGTGGCAGGATACCTCTCAGGTCTGTGACATGTTGGATACAACTGATTGAAGCAGTGTGTATAGGGGGACATTCTGTCAGTGTTGATGCTCTTTTCATCTCATTTTAAACTGCTTTAAGGAAAGCAACACCTCACAGTTAATGCAAACACTGTGTGGTTAGAATGATAATAACCTGCAAATATATATGAGATTATGCTGTTGATCTTTGCCCTTCCTCTCAGCCAAAGCACACACCTCTGGCCTTTTGTCTCCTTGGTGTATTTAGATGTGGGTGTTCCAGTTTACATGTATGAGTTTGCATACCGTGCTGAGATACACAAAAACAACCGTCCTTCCTTTGTGAAGGCAGATCATGCAGATGATGTCGGCTTTGTATTTGGTGGATGTTTCTGGAATGGACATTTAAAAATCATAGGTATGCTACCCAGTACATCTTTGTAGAGTAGATGGCCTCTCTTGCTCCTTTCTACTCTCATTACAAACATGTGAGGATTATGCAATGTAAAGCACGACCTCTTCATCCCGGACTTCTGGGATATCATGGATAACAGTCTCTGATTTGTGATTGAGCTATTCCTGTCCCATCTTCAGGAAACATTACCTAGAACCATGATGGCACGTTGGAGCAATTTTGCTCGCACTGGGAGAGTATTTCCTAAAAACAACAATAAAGCTGCACTGATCATTATTTTCATATGAACTAAAAAAGGTAGTTAGCAATGATAACGGAAGTTACCATGGACGGTAACAGGAAAAAGAGGTGATCTTTTGGCTAGAGTAGATTACCTCAAAGGTTCATAAAAGCTGACGACTTGTTCAGACGGTCTCGTTGACCAAAACGAGACTAAAATCCAGTTTTTTTAAAAATAGACTTTAATAACAGGATGAAGCTGACTAAATATGATTTTAAAAAAGAAGATCATTTGACACGGATAGTTAATGACAAGAAAAAATAGATCCTTCTGGGAATGATTATTGTCTTATAATGACTTAAGCTTAGTGGTTTAGTTTTAATGCCATAACTGTAATGTTTCATTCACTCTCTCTTAGCACTCCAAGTGAACGCTTATGTTGCTATGTGTCTGCTGGTTACGAACATGGGTAACTTTTTTGCGACTTTATCCAAAAATCTGTCATTTACCACAGAGAAGAACAGCAGAACAGTGGCTGAATAGCATTGGATTTAGCAGTCCATTTATTAACAGACTACAATTAAGATGAAATAGTCAAAAACAGTTTGTTCCCGTTCCACACACACCTGATTCTCACCACCTAAACTAAAGGGTACCTATATGCACTTCCTAAATGTACCCCCCCCCCCTATTTTTTTTTAACATTTAAACATTTGTATGGCCGCCGCAACATTATTTTAAAGTTATAATTCATTTGATATGTCGGTGTTATGTATCTGTTTGTTCTGCAACAGAACATGAACAGAAAGCAGCTTTTAAATGAAGTCTTATTAAAGTGTCAGACTGGCCAGACAAGGTTCCTCATTCAAAGTCATTCTTACTAGAATATTATCGTCCTTCTGTGATAGAGCAGAGCAAGGAGCAATATTCAGCAGAATGTGAATATATCTACTGTCAGGGAATAATTTCGCCCTACATGTTTACCTTTTGCCCTCTGACGCAGATGCCCAACCTTGGAAGCACATCCTTCTCAGGGTGTAGAGGGTACTGTTGCGGTCAGTTTATGTTTTGCTAATTGGATTTTCTTTTCACAAAAGGATATTAAAAACAAAATACGAGTGGATATTTGATTTTCATTTTTAAATTTTAAAAATAAACTTGAAATACAAGGCTTTGTTCTTTATCATTGTCAAAAAGGTATTAACTAAACTTAAACAACGGGATGATTTTCATGTTCTTCCTCTCAAAACAAAAAATCAAATCACTAGAAAACAGAAACAAAAAAACGCCAGTTTTTTCATATTCTGCTACCGGAAGTTGCTGTTTACAAAATAAGAGCGCAGATCAGTACGGTCCTATCAGGGTCATACGTTTTGATCATTAAAAAAAAAGTTTTTATCCTGAACTTTGAAAAATACAATAATGTATTTAAAATTAAAATAAGTATTTGAAATAATTTTTCAGGTTGAATATCATTTTGATTCAGTTCAGCAATTTTTTGGAATAAAATATTTATGTTTATATTTCACTTTTATACATATTTTGATATTTGAATCCTTATTTTTTCAGTTGCAGATTTTACGTTTTTCAGATTCAAAACAATAATTTATTCAGTTAAAAATCTTATTTTATCAGGTTTCACAAATGTTTTCGCCTTCAGACATTTTTTCACTTTCAGATCTTTTTTTTTCGCTTTCAGACGTTGTGGCCCTGATGTTGCTTGGGGGGCGGGGCTTACCAAAGAGTAGTTTGGCATCCTGAGTGACAGCCCTCCCTCTGTCATGTTGCCTTCATGGATATTAGGTAGCGCGAGAAATGTAACTAAAAACTTTCTATACACAATACTCCCGTGATTGGTGGTAAACAAAACTGATACAAGCGTCAAAGTTCCGTTCACAAAATTGTTGCATTGATTATTATTTGTCAAATTGTGTGTAACATAACAACAACATAACACCCCTATAGGCTTTATTTAGTTCATATGGAGATCTTAGTATCAAACATAGTCCTACACAACCAGCTAGTTGCTATCTTTGTCAGTCTGCTGCTTGTTGTTAGGCAGATAGTGTTGAGTGTGCGTTGATCACAGTCTCCTGATCCATTGTCAATGAATATATTGATGAGTGCTTCAAAGGTAAAACAAGCTGGACACTTTTACATTACATTTCATTTAGCTGACGCTTTTATCCAAAGCGACTTACAATTACCAATCACAGGGACATTCTCCCTGGAGTAACTAAGGACTAAGTGCCTTAATCAAGGGCACACTAGTGTTGGTGTTCCTGGCGGGATTTGAACTCACAACCTTCCGATCTTCAGCCCACCTCACTATCCATTGGACCACCACTATCCCTACACCACTTCATTTTATATTTAAGAAAACCGAAAAACTATTAAATCACAGATCCCCATCCTGTACTGTTGCTATTCAGAGTGGAAGAATAGAAGGCTAGCACTCAATGCATGCTGGGAATTATGCTAATGATTATGCTAATTGTGTATATGACAATAAAGATGAAAATATTGATTCTACCAAATGTCCACATGATGGAACTGTTATATAACTTTGCATTATCACTGGAGAGTAAAGCAGTTTTCTATTCCTCCAGAAGATGTCAGCAAATACCTCAAATACTTCAGCTTTGATTACAAGAAGTAGCTGTTCATTTGAAAAAATAAATAACACAATATATATATATATATATATATATATATATATACATAATATATATATATGTGTATATATATATATATAATACATGTAATGTTAATATAATGAATGTAATGATAGAACGGTAGTTTATCTTTATTCTGATACACACTGTGACAGTGTGCATCTGGACCCGGTGACGACATTACCTATTGACGCAGCAACCACTGTAAGTTATATTCTTGTTTAATTAGACTTCTCTGTTTCATTTATTCGACTCTGTATAATTGTTATTGTAGCTTAAACGGCTAAATCGCTTTTGAGAGATTTTAAATCTCAGATCTGCTCAGGCGAAACCTGCTTCACAGGTCTCAGCACTCAAGCCTGCATTAATATAGGCAGGGCCAGTCTATTGTCGCCCATCAGCTGTAGATAGTTAACTAATTAGAGGGGCGTGGCCCTACAGCTGTGAGAACTGAGCAATCAGGCGTCCATTTTGGGTAGCTCTTTCCTGGAGCGTCAGCTTCAGCGGCAGACAGCCGAAGACTGACAAAGACATTGGAGTCCTGCGGGAGTCAAAGACTGACAAAGACATTGGAGTCCTGCGGGAGTCAAAGACTGACAAAGACATTGGAGTCCTGCGGGAGGCAAAGAGGGAGGCAAAGAGGAGGCAAATCCTACTCTGATTGAGCTGGTGTCTTATTTATCTTTTCTTTAGTTTTCTAGCCCCTCATGCTATAATCATGTGTATTTTCTCCATTCCTGTTCATGTGTCTTCTCGCAATTATCACTGGCCCCTGTGTATCTCCTAATCGATATAACCGGCCTGCTCTCGTCTATCCCACGTGCTCCACTGAGATCCAACATCTAGTTTCTGGTGGCCTGTGGAATTGCCAGTCAGCTGTTCCTAAGGCTGACTTCATCTCTGGCTACGCCTCCCTGCAGTCTCTGGATTTCCTTGCTCTCACTGAGACCTGGATTACTCCATCCAACACATCCACCCCAGCAGCTCTCTCTAGTGATGGCGAGATGAAGCCTTATGAAGCTTTGAAGCTTTCCAGCCAATTGGTTCGCAAAAGGGTTCATCTCATGAGGCTTCATCATGGGCTTCATTTGAACACAAACCCCCCTGTTGGTCAAAGTGTGTAAAACAGGCAGATTGGACATCTCAACAGTGTGCTCTCTCATACCGAGTTCCCATTGAGTAAAGCCTTAGAATAACTCTAAACAACGAACATTAAATCATATTTTCATGTTAACAATATTGTATTTATTCCAGTTTAATGATTGTGATTGAAAAGCCTAAGGATCTGGTACACATTGCAAAGAGGGATTTGTATTCCTTAATACTATTCATAAACGTAACCATGTTGTAGCCTGAGAAAGGCTAAACCATATCAAATAATATATTTATTAACTACATTATCTCATTTAGCTGTAGCTTTTATAAACAACAAAAAATACGTATTGTTCAGTCGTTGAACCAGGGACCCTGCGGTCATGAGTCAACTGTTTTCTTCCAGCTGAGCCACAGCACACACACTAAAGCTCCCTGAAAACACTGCAAGATATGTATTCCTGTATGTATTGATGTTTTTATTGATGTTTTTATTCCTACATTTATTTATGCTTGTATCTATTTATACTTATGACATGTTCCGACCTCTATATAAGTGAGGGTCTGTGCTCTCTTGATTCCATCATGTCACCGGGCCCGGGTATAGCACAGGAGGGGTAATATTGTTCTTGTTATACATCCATGGGTATTATGAGCGTTGTGGTTCAACGGTTCAACCGATCTGAATCGCTTCCTGAAGCAGTCACGTGGTATCGACAGGCAGCGAGGCTTCGTTTGTCATCGATGACGTCACTGGCCCAGAACGATACAAGCCTCGATACATGCTTCACAAAAAGCTTCGGGGATTACTCGACACACGCTCCGAAGCCTCGGCGCAATACGTAACATCACTAGCTCTCTCCACTGCATATTCCTTCTCCCATACACCCAGACCCACTGGCAGAGGAGGTGGCACTGGTCTCCTGCTCTCTTCCAAATGGAGCTTTTCCCTCTTCAAACTACCTAATTTCACTCCTTCCACCTTTGAATTCCATGCCGTCACAGTAACCCATCCTATACAGTTAACCATTGTTGTTCTCTACCGTCCACCAGGCGCCTTGGGGGACTTCTTGGAGGAATTAGATAATCTCCTCTCACACATCCCTGAAAATGGCCCTCCCGCTATACTTCTCGGAGACTTCAACCTCCAGACGGGGAAGATAGACGAACTAACATCTCTGTTAACCGCCTTTGCTTTCTCACTGTCTCCGTCCCCATCGACTCATAAAGCTGGCAATGTCCTTGATCTCATATTCTCAAGGAACTGCGCTACTTCTAACCTCTCTGTAAACCCGCTCCACACATCCGATCACTTCTTCATTTCATTCTCTCTACCCCTTTCCAAACATAACAAACTAATCTCTTCTCATCCTGCACTTGTCCGCCGTAACCTTCGCTCCCTCTCCCCCTCTACCTTTGCCTCGTCGGTGCTCTCAGCCCTCCCTTCCTCTGACTCGTTCCAACTCCTGCCACCAAACTCTGCTGCAGAAACTCTCCTCTCTACTCTCTCATCCTCTCTGGACTCTCTCTGTCCTCTCACATCTCGGCAGGCTCGTCAGTCCCCTCCTGCTCCCTGGCTAAATGATGCGCTGCGTGCTAATAGAACCGTCCTTAGGGCAGCAGAGCGGAAATGGTGGAAATCCAAACACCGTGACGACCTCCT